GGCCAGACGCCCACTACCCCCACACTAGTACTACCACATTATAATCTCTAGCACATTAGTTTCATGGTCACAATCAAACATAAGAAATATTTTTTCTATAAAAAATATTTTTTTCATGAAAACATTCCATATGCTTTTTCCCCATAGAAATAAATGGTGTAGAAGATTGAATTTAAAATGTATATATATGTGTCATGCAGAATATGGCATGGGGAGTCAAGTGTCCATCGAATGGTGATGTATATAAGCTATGGGATCCTCTTGTTAGAATTGTTCACGGGAAAAAGACCAACTGATGACATGTTTAAAGATGGCTTGACCCTTCAACAAATTAGCCTCGACAGCTTTGTCAGAAAGAGTAATGGAGATTGTGATCGGAAACTTGTATCAGTTGCAGACGGGGAGGAAGCAACCAACATAAATTCCAGAAAACAAATAGGAAAAGGAAAATTCCATGAGTGCTTAATTCTGATACTCAGGATTGGAGTCACATGCTCCGAGGAATCACCAAGAGAACGAATGGCCATTGTTGAGGCCGATTAAGGAACTACATTTAGTTAAGACATGTTTACTTGGGAGAAGGATTTCAAGCAATGTGCGAACGCTCAAAATGGATAATAAAGGTCCTCTCTCAGTGTTTTTCTCTCAATTTTCAAAATCTAAACTTCATCCTCATATTAGGCATGGACCTTAGTTGAATGATCTGAACTGTTATTTTTTTAGAGTCTTCCTTGTATATCATTCATGAAAGAAATTTAATTTATTTGATAATCGTAATATTTTTATTTTATTGCATTTGTCATTGAAAAATAAATGACAAGTATATTTTTGAAAATTAGTCATTGATTTTTTTTGAAGACAAACGTGATAAAAATAAAAATATTATAATTATCGAATTGACTTAATATTTTTTTCAAAAATGATATACAAGAAGATCCGTACAAGTTGAATGATTCGAATTATTGAAACAAAATTCATAATGGCCACACAACCCTAACATGATAGTCAAGTTAAGATTTTAAACTTGAAAGAGTCTCCGTCCTAGTTTCACAAGATAGACATGAGGTGGGGCCCATCCCCTTGTCAATTTTTTTTATTATATAATTTTATGTATTCTATTTCTGTGTATTTTGTTCCCTATCTTATTTGATTAATTAATAAATTAGTAGATCTAGTGTACCTTTGCATTTCCTTTCTTTCATTCGTTCACCATAATTAATTCCATTCTTAAACCATAATTAACTTTCTTTTGTCATTGTAATTTTAATTGTATCAATTTTATTCTTCAGTTGATATTGTGTTGATTTAGTATAATTGATAATGCCCTTAAAAATTGAGATTTTTTTGCCATAACTCCTTCATGGAGCCACTTTTCTTGAAAAGGACAAACTCTAATTTTTTTGCTCATAAATTCAAAATAAAGAAAATCATGTAAGAAAGACAAAAAATTTTAGATTTATATTTTGTGTGACAAATTTACCCTTCACACACTCTCTCTATCTTTCTCTTCTTTCTCTCCCTCAATTTGTCTAAACTCTTTTTCTCTCTCTCTCTCTAAGAGTTCTCTCTACTACCACCACCACTACCACTACCACCGTCTACACCACTACCACCACCATCTCCATTACCACCACTACCATGACCACCACGTTTCCACCCCCTCCACTGTCTTCACCACCACCGTTTCAACCACCAGCGCCGTTTGTCATAGCCACCACTACTACCGTTTTCTACCACCACTGTCTCAACCATCCGGTGCCATTCGATGCCCACTATACCACTGGCAACCACCATTGTTAACCTTCCGCCTCCATGACTTTAGATTTTGAGATAGACGACCTAAAATATGAGATCCATCATCTCATATCTATATCTTTCCCTCTCTTTCTCTTGTGTCTCCTCATGATGCTTTGGTTTTTAGACAGTAAGGTGCCGTTTGGTAACACTTACGTTTTCAGTTTTCCTGTTTATATTTACAAAAATTTAAAAAAACTCAAATAAAAAACTTGTTTGGTAAATTTTTGATTTATAAATCAGTGGTCTTAGTTTATAAATTTGGCCAAAAAATCTAAACTCAAAAAATGAGTTTCCGTTTTGAGTTTTTAGTTTTTTTTTTTTTACCACCCAACAATAGCTACCACCCGCCACCATTTTCCACCACCGTCTTCCGCTACCACCAACCCACCCCCCATCACCAAACTGCTACCACCACTCACACCCACCACCCGCCACCACCACTCACCATCCGCCACCACCACCCATCTGTCACCCCACCATCCACCTTGCCATCCCACTTGCCATCACCACTCACTCCTCGCCGCCATCACCACCACCACCCACTCCTCGCCGCCCAGCACCACCACCACCCACTACACACCTGCCATCCACCCGCCACCACCCACCCACCGCCACTACATCCACCGTCTGCCACCATCACTCACCACCCACCTTCCACCACCATCCACTACCCGCCACCACCGCCACCACCAGCCACCAGCCACCAGACACTGCCACCCACCTGTTACCACCACCCACCACCCCATCACCTACTACCCACTACTTGCCACCACCACCCACCCACCACCACCACTACCCACTCGTTACACACAACTACCCGCCACTGTTACCCACCCACCCATCACCACCACCCACCACCACCCGCCATCCGCCACCCACCATCCGCCGCCACCACTACCACAACCCACTCGCTACCACCCAACACCGTCACCCACCCACCTATCACCACCACCTACTACCACCCGCTACCCACCACCCACCGTCACCACTTTCCACGACCGTCTTCCGCCGCCACTTGTCATTTTTCACTCTTTTTTATATTTTTAAATTTTTTTATACATTTTGTCAATTACCGAACGCGTTTGTAGTTTATGTTTTTCTAAAAATAAACAAAAACCAGTTTATAAAATTTTTGTAAAT